ACACAGCACCCACCAGCTCCTTGGGTTATGGGGCTGGGGGGCAGACCGTGCCCCTCCAAGACCTTGGCCTGCTCTTGCCTTTCCTGGGAAGATGACCCCAAATTCTCTGGGGTGACTTACAGCAGATTTCCTCTTTTCTGGCTCATCTGAACCAATCTGAGCAATACCCCCTTTTCACGCCAGCCTGTACAGTTTAAGCTTTTAATCAAACTTATTTCACTCCCCCTGGGCTGTCACGAGCTCATCTGACCTCTCCTGAATGATCAACATGCTGAAGGACAGTACTCTGTCTCCTACAAGTTTTCTCCCTGCAGGATGGCTCGTCGTCATTCTAACCAGTGGAAAACAGCACCCCAGCTGCCACTGTGTGAACAGATGCATACTTGTATTAAAAGATGTTTTGGAATACGTGTTACAGTGCAGTGGGTTAAATAGATGGTTCAAACCCAGGCTGCTCTGCTCTTCTGGGCCAGCTTCCTGCTAATGCTCCTGGCAGGGTGGCAAACAATGGCCCACATCCTGCCCACCACATGGGGGACCCTGATGCAGTTCCTGGTTCCTGATTTCAGCCTGGCCGCGCCCTAACTGCTGTGGGCACTGGGGAAGTGAGCCTGTGGATAAAGAGCTCCTTCTCTTTTGTTTTACTCTGTCACTCAGCCTTCCAAATAAATAAATAAATAGATCTTTTAAAAACAAAGATGATGCAGCTCCCTGCTAATGTTCTTGGGAAAGCAGCAGAGGATAGCCAAATGCTTTGGGCTCCTGCAGCCAGGTGGGAGAGCTAGATGAAGCTCCTGGAACTGGCTTCGGCCTAGCCCAGCCCTAGCTGGTGTGTCATCTGAGGAGTGAACCAGTGGGTAGAAGATGTCTTTCTCTTTAGCTCTGTAACTATCTTTCAAATCAATGAAACTTAAAAAGGGAAGATGCTGTGATGAGGAGGCATGGTCACAGCAGCAAAAACCCAGTGTAGCTGTGTATTCTAGGTTGCTTCTCAATGTGTCATGGCTTGTGTTTCAAATCCAACAAACGCAAAGAAAATCCATCCTCCCTCTTCACTATTGAGACTAAATTGCTTCTACCCAGTTATGTTCATCTTCATGCAGAGACTTTTTTTTTTTCAATTCTAGAGAAGCACAAGCAACTACTCTGGAAGCATCTGCCTGTGACTTGACAAATGTGTGAAGGACCTGCCAGCGTGAAGGACTGGTTCATGGGTCTGTCCCCTGAGAACCATTCTGGAGCTATTCTTTGTTCACTGTATAATTAAGATTGTTTTCCCATAACCATGCTAAAGATATTTTTCCACTTCCTGGGCAAATGGCCTTTCCACAGAACCACACGCACACACACACACATACTCGCGGTGATGGCAAAATTCTGCTATCTCTATCAGTGAATACTGTTGGAGCACCAGGTGACCCTGAATACAAAGTCGTCCTCCCTGGATATTGTCACCAGTGAGGGCCGCATGGGGTCTCAGGCACAAGACCCAGGGAATCCCAAGATGTGTTGCAGCCACTCTGGGCTAAACCCTCTGTGAGGAGACACGGTGACAGAATGTTCACGGTCCCCAGGCAGGGATCTTAGCTGGGTGTCTGGCATTAGGAGAGGTTTGCTTTGGGAACGCAGGAAATATGGAGCTTGGGAAAGACATCAGAAAGAGGTATTTAGGATGAAAGCATCGAGTGACACAGGGCTCAATGAGAAGCACAAAAACCATGAAAAAAATATGAGAGCCAAGGCAACTAGCTCTCCTAGGTCCTGGGGCAGCCCCATGGTTAGTCAAGGGGAGGCTCATGGGCCCAGACCGCCAGGGGCAGGGAGTGTGAGTACACAGCTGAGATCAGGCTAGAAGGCACATGAGAGAGCACACTGCATGCCACAGAAGGATACACCTGAAGCCAGAAAGACAGAAAGAGAGAGAGAGAAAACACCAGAACCCTGACACCACAGACAGTGAAAGAAAAGCTGTCCTCTGTCTGGAACAATAAATACAATTGAAGCAGCCAATCACAGTGTGGCTTCCCTACAGAGACTGAAAGGCAGGCCTTGAACTGACACTCAAAGCACAAGTGGCCCTCCATGTCCTGCCAGCCAGGACCCAAGCTCGATCCTTGCCTCCTGGCCAACAGGGTGGACTCTGCCTGCTATGGATTGAACTGGATTCCCCCAAAATTCAGGGGAACCTGTCAGCAGTCCTACTGTGATGGTATTTGCATATGAGGCCTCTGGGAGGTGCTCCTGGTTACGTGACTCCAGAAAGGGCAGGGTCCACAAGACAAGATCAGCTCCCCATGAGAGTCTCAAAGACCAGTTCCGCCAAATTCCACCCTGCCTCTGAATGGTTGCCAGGTCAAACACAAGACAATAACCTTTTACCAAAGCCACATCCCATGCAATATTTGGGATATACTGACACTTCTGCCATGGGATGGAGGTACTCCCCCTGCCCCCAGCCCACCTGACATTGAAAGAATCATGAATCTTAAATGTACTTCAGATGCCCAAGGTTCTGGACAGCACAGTTGAGCAAAGGAGCACACATACAACATCTGTTGCTTTCTCTTGTGCTCTGGGCGGAACTGAACGGGAGCTGCCAGCTCTGCACAAGACTACCAAGTCCAAAGTCAAAATCCTAAACAAGCTTGCCAATTAGTGTGTCCCATCTTCCTGCCAAATTTGTGAGTTGAGCCATGGGAGAGTCAAAGATTGCCCCGTCTGCCAGCTGTACCTGCCTGAGCCCCAACTGGATCCTGCTCTTGGGGACCATGTCTGCATTCATGAAACTCAAGGACCCAGTCTGAAGGCCAAGGGCCACTTCCTCCCCTATCGCAATTGCTCATCTGTCTGGATTCCCAAGAGCCATGCATTTGGTCCTCTGCTTTGAGCTTCTGCTCCCAACTCAGCAGACAGGGCTGGTGCCAGTCTGTCCCCTAAATAGAGTCCCCACTGCCTGCCTAAAGAAAAAATGCAGACTTGCTGGTGACTTTCAGGCCTGTATATTGAGTGTTCAGCTCTTCCCCACTGGATCATGACCCTGAGGGCAGTGATAACTGCTCAGCAGTGTCATCTAACATGATGTTTTGCATCTCAGAGGCATTTAATCAATGACTGTTGGCCTCATAGGGAAAGACAGTAATTCAGCGGACTGGACCCAAAAGAGGCCAAGTAATACTCTGAGTCAAATAGGGGAGCTGGACAGGAGCCTGTGCAATTGTAATGGCATTTCTCTTTATGTTTTGTCCCCAAAGGTAAGTCATTTGTATCCCTGTGAAAGTCTGACTGGCATGATTAGAATTGTGCGGCTCTTGGGCCCGGTGGCGTGGCCTAGCGGCTAAAGTCCTTGCCTTGAACGTGCTGGGATCCCATATGGGCTCCATTTCTAATCCCGGCAGCTCCACTTCCCATCCAGCTCCCTGCTTGTGGCCTGGGAAAGCAGTCGAGGCTTTGGGACCCTGCACCCACGTGGGGGACCTGGAGGAAGAGGTTCCTGGTTCCCAGCTTTGGTTCAGCGCAGCACCGGCCGTTGCAGCTCACTTGGGGAGTGAATCATCGGACGGAAGATCTTCCTCTCTGTCTCTCCTCCTCTCTGTATATCTGACTTTGTAATAAAAATAAATAAATCTTTAAAAAAAAAAAAAAGAATTGTGGTGCAGAAGAGAAGGCATTAAGTCCTTCCATGCCCCAACAGAGGCTGGTCCAGGTGACTGAGGTGTCTGGGATGGAGGCTGGGGTGAAGGCTGGTCCCTGGAGGACTTAGAAGCGCTGAGAATGATATATATATATATCATATATTTCTCTCCACATATGTATATGTCTATATATATCTAACACACACATATATATGTATATAGATAGAGAGAGAGAGAGAGATACTATCCTATGATTCAATTCCCCAGATGGCCGTAAAGTCAGGGCAAAGGTAGGAGCTGGCACCTGCACCCAGGTCTTCTACCTAGGTGGTAGGAACCCAAGCCCCTGGCCCATCCCCTTTCCCCTCCCTGGCATACTAGCAGGAAGCTGCATCTGAAGCAGAGGTAAGTCTTAATCCCAAGTATTCCAAGACGAGATGCAGGAGTTCCAAGTAGAGGCTTAACATTCCATGCCACAATGCCTACTGTATATATTCTTAAAGTTGAATGTAATATCATTAAACAGGGCCAGGCATTTAGACTGATGGGTAAGATGCCAGTTAACAGGCCTGCATCCCCATTGCAGTGCCTGTGCTCAATGCCTGGCTCCAGCTCCTGAGTCCAACTTCCTGCTAGTTTGGATCCTGTGAGGCAATGGTGATGGCTATTGCCATCCATCCATCCATCCATCGTCTATTGCCTATCACGCATTCTGTCACTGAATGACTACGAATATCTTCTACATGATAGACACTTGCGGTCATGCATAGGACACGATCAATCATTTTCCTCCACCAATTCCTTTTTCCTTTGCCTGTTCTAATTAAAACCAAAAATTCAACTCTTATCACATCTTCTTGTTATAATAGCTTGATCAGCTGACCACTGGGGAAGATGATCCTATACTCTTGCTTGTGTGTGCAAGCAATGACTTCAGAGGTTCAAAGAACAGGAAGAAGTTCAATTATTTTACTAAGTTGCTAATACTGCCCACTGCAGAGCTCTGGGTGAATGAGCTGTAGATAAACACCACCTCCATCAATGAATGCAATCATCTCTCTAATATCCTGCTGCTAGAAAATCTTGTATTCTGGTGAACCACCACCAGAATACCAGTAGAACAGTGAAGTCATTTTGAAAGTTACCAGCAAGAGTTAATTATGTAAAGTGACAATTAAGGCACTTTAAATTAAATTTCATATTCTTGAGCAAATGAGTACATTTGAATTATTGCATTAAATATAAGCATGCAGTGGCCTGCATTTAAATATCTGATTCTGAATTATTCCCCTTTAAAAATTATTACATTGAGAAGGTGAACATGAAAGATGTTGCAGTTAAATTTAAAAACAAAGAACCGAAACTTACTGTGTATTCTGTTGCCAGATGTTCATTTGGAGAAACGCAGGCAAACGAGGAAAAAAAAAAAAAGAAAGAGAAAATGATGATTTAGCCCATGCTTACATCCAACATAAAACCACAGTGCTAACAAATACTGGTGAATCATTATCACTACAGATGTGGCAAAGAAATCATGCAAAAACAAAACATTCACATATACCGAATGCCACCGTATTGGCTCTGTAACTCAGGACTGGGAGACTTCTGTGGTTGCACAGATAAGGCAGGGAGGCAAGATTCAATTAACCTATAGGTTTGTGGCTAATTAAAACCCAAAGAGTTGGCATTATAAAAGCAGAATTAAAGACTCATAATTCCAGTGGAGCATGTCATTAACCACAAAGGCAATCTTTTAAGTGGAAAAGCAGCTTTTATCGGGAATAAAAAAGGGCCTCTTTTGATGTTCCTGGAGTGTGGGAATCTCAAAATTTGCATGTGTTCAGTACAGAAACCAAACGGTCTACATTTTTTCCCCTATTTTTTTTTTTCCTCTTCTGTTCCTAGTCCTTTAAAGAGCGTTTATTGTCATCGCCATACAAGTGAGAGGAAATGTAATCTTGAGGATGTTCTTATCATAAAGAACAAAGAAGCAGTTTAAGGCAGAAAGAACTAACGCAATCTTCTGAATGAAACAAACAAACAAATGGAGCTGGGGGGCGGGGCTGTGAAACAAAACTCAAAATAAGTTGTTTATGGACAATTCATACCCCCAAATTTCTTGGGGAGTGCTGGGGAAATGGGGCGTATTTCCCCATTTGGAAATACTAAAAAGGATTAGAAACTAAAAAAGATCTTCTTTATCTCCCTTCCCCACCAGTGCTGGAAGGACCACGGTGGACTGTCTTAGCTGAACCTCTGCCACCTGCCACAGCTCAGAATTAAGACTGAGCATCCATGATGCAGAAAGAAGAAAGCAAAAGGTAAGGGTGACCTTCCAGGGTGCCCAGAAGGGCCTGCCTGGATAGCGAGCCTCACGTAGCCCTACATCCATGAAATTCTACTACAGCTGTGCCCCAGCCCTTGCTCTGTGTGGCACGGGGGTTATACTAAAGACTCACCTGTGATAGTATAGGGATAATAGTTCCAAGCCTTCTCGGTGACATAGAATATCTTGGGAACAACAGCTCGGGCCCAACTTGGCAATTTGCTAAGAGAAAACAAAACAAAAAATTAATCTCTTGAGGGTTTCACCCTGTGACTATGCATGGAAATAAAAAAATTCTGAAGCATTTCTGCTGTCCATGACCAATTCTTCCTCATGTCTCTGGTCTTCACCCTGGTCAACTGTTTCCTGGGCACATGTCTGTGCTTTGTAAAATGTGTAAAGGCAGAAGGCTTAAAGGCGTGAAGACAGGGAACGCCCCCGGAGAGCAGGCACGCAGAATTCTCGGGCTGAGTTCTGAGAATCCAGCACCTGAGAGGTGTCATATTTGGAAGGTTGGGCCAGCTTGGTCTTTGCCTCCCAAGAGTGATAGAAGCAGAATAAAGAAATGTTTAAGTCAAGTTAGAGACAAGAGGGGACAGCAGCTAATATTAGATCTGCTTCAGCCTAGCCACTCACCTGAGAGACATTTTAAAATGTTTATGTGCTCACTTTTTTTTATTACAAAGGCCAAGGGAGGGGGCTGGCACTGTGGCATATCAGCCTCCCCTTGTGGTACTAGCATCCCATATGGGTGCAAGTTCAAACCCTGGATGCTCCGCTTGTGATCCAGCTCCCTGTTCATGCACTTGGGAAAGCAGTGGCAGATGATCCCTACCCCAACATGGGAGCTCTGGCTACCAGCTCAGCCTCAGCTCTTGCAGCTGTTTGGGGAGTGTATCGGCAGATCAAAGATCTCCAAGATCACACACATTGGAGGTTGCCACGGATAGGGGAGGCTGGGAGGGAGCTGGTGCTTCAAACACTTGGATGGTGCCAGACTGGGAGACGACACGGTCGAGTTCTGCAAGGTACCCAGCACGTGGTGGTCGGTTGTGAGATTCTGGAAAGCTAGCACAAGGACGTCTGTACATCCAAGGCTACTTCAGTTCTGCTTTGCTATCCTTCAGAGGCAAACCCTCTGGCACAGCATGGGTCCAGAGAATTCCTTACACTCTGTCCTTGAATACATAGTATCATCTATTTTTTTTTACAGTAGTTCTGCACAATTTTATCTTCCTCTAGCCCCAAGGGCTTTTATTTTGCTGCTTTCTTACTCATGGTGGCTACCATGAGGTGTCGTGGAGGCTGGTGTCTACTGGCAGATCTGACCCAGGGGATAACATGGACTCAGTCCCTTGGGGCTGCAGGTTGGCAATAAAGAGAATCAAGAAGCAGCTTTGGGGACTAGCACCGTTGGGTAGTGGGTAAAGCCTCCACCTGCAGCGTCAGCTTTCCATATGGGTGCTGGTTCAAATTCCGGCTGTCCACTTCTGATCCAGCTCCAGGCAAGCACCCCTGGGAAAGCAGCAGAAGATGGCCAAGCGCTTGTGCCCCTGCACACACATTTGGGAGACCCAGAAGAAGCTCCTGGCTCTGGGAAACTTAGCTCTGACTGCTCCAGAAATCTGGGGACTGAACCAGCAGATGGAAGATCAATCACTCTCAACTTTGAGTGTGATGCAGTGGAAAGCATGGACATGCACCATATCATAGTGTCTGGTTTTCATTCCCCATGCCCCTTCAATTCCAGTTCCCCATTAATTCATCGTGAAAGACAGCAGGGGAGGGTTGAAGCGCCTGGCCCCTGCCACCCACATGGGAGACCTGTCTGCTTCCTGGTTCCTAGTTTCAGCCTGGTCCAGCCCAGGCTCCTGTGGGCATGTGGGAAGTGAACCAGGAGGTAGAAGATCTATCTTTCAAATAAAGTGAAAATAGATAAATAAATATATAAAAAGCAGTGACTTTGATTTCCAAGTACATATAAAGAAGAAAGGGGGGACAACAAGTTCACAGAACATCAAATCCCCCAACCATTCTTGCCATGTGGAATGTCCATAGCAACCAGAGCCAGTGAAATACTAAGTGCTTTCCCGGTCTTCTCCTGACAGTGTCCAGGCGCAGTGTTTGGGAAGATAAATGGGTGTTTTCAGTGGGTGGTGGGGCTGGGCCTGAAGCTCTGCAGGTCCCAGCGTGAAGAGAACCAGTGCACTCACTGAGTCCCCAAACTGGGTGCGTGTCTCTGGAAGTGCTGCTGGCCTGGCCAAATGCGCAGGGTGAGCTGAAGCAGTTCTGAGCAGCACATGGTGGGAGCAGTCCCCCAGAAGCCTTGGGGTGGTAACTGTTCATTGATACTCCCTCCTCCGGCTCAGAGGGATGGGCTGCTCCTGACAAGGCATGGTGGAGTTTCTGCTGACAATGGATCCCATCAGCCACCAAGTTGGAGAGCCACTGAAGGAAACGGTCATGAGCAGAGCTTCCTTGGGTCCCCCCGAGCAACACGTCAAGGGCAGGGCAGGAAGACGCAACTTGCAGTTACAGCAAGTCAAATGTGTATGCTTGCAGTGGATTATAACAGGACGTGGAACATCTCCCCAAGGCAAGTGAAGCATTGCTGGGCTCAGACCAAGTGCTCATAGTTCCTCCTGCTCCATTCACCCTGCACAGCTCCTCAAACCCTCAGGTTTCCCTGCTTTGCACTGTGGGTACAAGTCCCCTAGTATCACACCCCTCCATTTCCCCGTTGCACCCAAAAAGCCTCCCAGCCAGAACCTGAATATTAAGCAACTATCATTTTCTGGAAAGAAAAGCATGACCATTGGTGAGTTTCCATTCACACTTGGGATGCTCAGGTCAGGACTCCAGATTCCGGAATTTTCACTTGAGCTGCGATTCCTGGGAAGATGTCCCCCTAACACATGCTCACGCAGTCAAGACAGCTGTTGGGTTTTAGGCCATCCTTCTATTCTGATTAGTACTAAAAAGGGGACTCTTCTGGTCCGAGCCATTTCCTTGGCTGGATGTGGGAGACATTGGTGAGAAGTTTCCTGAGTCTCTAAGTTTACTTATTGAAGAGGCAGAGACACACAGAAAGATGTCATTCCCGGTTCACTCTGAGTACTCATGAGGGGGCCAGGGCCAGAAGCCAGAAGCTGGAACTCAGGGACACGCAACATCAACTCATCACCCAGGGTCTGCATTAGCAGGAAGCTGGAGCCAAGAGGGAAGCTGGGAGTCAAATGCAGGCAGCCTGATATGGGACATGGGCATCCTACTTGGAGTTTTCCCTGCTACACCCAGCATGTGCCCCTACTTAAAGACTGTTTTTAAACACCCCCAACAGACCTCATCAGTCCTTGATGTAGAACCATGATTATTCAAATCATTTTGGTCTGAGAAAGTAAAATTTATTTTTCTCAGCAGCAATGATTTATCAGGGCTTACAAAGGAAAATGGAATTGATTCCCCACAGCTGCTGTCTGTCTCATGATGTGCACTGTGACACAGCCTACAGTTCATAAAAAAAAAAAAGCACCCCATCACTCAAACTCACTGCCAGATTTTACACAAGAGCCTACTTCTTAAAAGCCAGCAGGTGCAAATTGGGTCTGCTATCCATGCATGGGCCAAGATCAAACTTCCAAACTACCTGTCTCTACACAATGCAGGATCTGGCAGCATCGAGGAAGAACAGGGACAAAATCAAAACCTTACGGCTGGCATTGTAGCATAAAGCGTTAAGCCAACAGTGGCAGTGCGAGCATCCAATGGGGTGTTGGTCAAATCTTGGCTGCTTCACTGCTGATCCAGCTCCCTGCCGCTATGCCCTGAGAAAGCAGCCAAGGATGGGCCAAGCCATGTAGCAAACTCAGAAGAGGTTCCTGGCTCCTGGGTCCAGCCTGGCCCAGCCCTAGGTATTCGGGAAGTGAACCAGTGGATGGAAGTTCTATCTCTTCCTTTATCTCTCTCTGTAACTCTGCCTTTAAATAAGTAAAATAAATAAATCGTTAAACCTGCAACCTTTCCCAACTCTGAAAATGTTGTTTATGAAGATGCCGCCTGCCCTGCATCACACTCCCCTAGATGTGTGCCGATGCCTCCCAAGGACGGGCTTCACAAGATGCTCGCTTTCTTGCTTTTCAACTTCATTCTCAGGGCAGGCACTTGGCAAAGTGGTGGGACACTTGCTTTCTGTGTCAGAGCACTCTGGGTCAAGGCCCAGCTCTGCTCCAGATTCTAGCTTCCTGCTAACGCACTCCCTACGAGTGGCAGGTGATGGCTCCATCTGTGAGATTCTGCAACACACCTGTGGGAAACCTGACTGAGCCTGGCCCAGCCTGAACTACTGGAAGATGGACAGATGAAGCTCCCTCTCTGCCTTTAAAATAAACAAATAATTTTGAAAACTAATAGCCTTGTATGTGAATGAGAACATACTGGTGATGGAACCATCAATAGAAAGTTCCCCATGCCAGGTCAGAATGTCCCTCAGTACCAGGCAACCTGAGGTGGGGCTGGTCACCCCACAGAAGAGATTCTCAACAGAGGAGGTGATGTTCTCCACTCAAAGCAAAGTCTAAAAACATTTCTCACTGTTTCCACTGGGGAAGGGTTCTGTGTGTGGGCTTGCTTGCAGTATCTCCCATGTGGAGGTCAGGGACTCTGCCTCAACCTGAAACGCCAGCAGCAGTAAGAGTGGAGAAACTGAGCAGATCTCCTCTCCTCCCATCTATTCCCCAGGTCCCCTAGATCACAGCTGATGTAAGCAGGCCCTGGGGACAGGGGAAATGGGAGGTGAGATGTTTACCAACTTCACCAGAAGCTTCCAGATCCCGAATCCAGAAGGTGCCTCCATTAGAAGTTTCTGGTGCTTTGTCACAGAATTCCCCTGGGTTTCTAATCTCACATGGCAATTTATGGTGCTCCGGGATCAGCTACAGGAGGAGCTGACCGTCGTTGGGCCAAATGGAGTCTAAATGGGGTCTAATTTCATCTTCTCTACGGGGGAAGAGCCACGATGGTCTGGACTGGGATGACTTCTACCTTCCCGGCAGACAACACGGTTCAGGGTTTTTTTTTTTTTTTCTTTCTCCTGAATAGTGCACCTGCCACTTTCTGCACTGAGATGATGTTCCTTTTAAATAGGACCCCACTATTTTCACATCCTTTTTTCCCACTAGCCCCAGAGGAATATTCTGACCTTCTCATTCCTCTTTGTATAGAAA